CCCTCTCTTCCCACACCAGGAAGCAGCATGGTGAAGCAGGTGGATTGGGTCAGACATGAAGAAAGGCAGCAAGTGACTGACTTACCTCTGATGCCACAATGGCCCAGTGGGGCCTAAATTATTGAAATTATCTCTGTTATGCAGTCTATGTAATAATTAGATACAACAATCAGTAATTTGGCAAAATTACCATCTGATTTATCCAAATGTAGTCTGAGAGAGAGATTTCAATGGATATTAATTATATGGAAGGCTGTAAGAGTCTGCATTTTCCATTACTAGGATAATTAGGGACAGAAAAAGGTTGACATTGAGTGCTACATTTCTATGCGGATCCATTTTTAATGTTAACTCCCAGACTCCCCTGAAAATTCATTCTGTACTCAGCATAAGCCTGTAATTTTGTGAAGCATGTACTGCATTTTCATTCATAGCTTAAAAGTGAAATCCCTGCTGTAAGTGCAAAATCGAACTTCAACTCTGGATCAGTGATGATAACCTCAGAACATTCCTGTCAAACGGGTTAAAATATTAAGCATTTGCAGATTATGCCCCCAAACCATGTAAGATACAATTATCTAACAGAATGAAATGAGCAGCTTAATATCAGGAAGACAAGTGCTGCACAAATAAGCAATCAGCACCTTTGTACCAATAGCTTCATCCTGCAAAGATCTTGAGCTCTCTCTGCTAAGTACAGAGCACCCTCAACTCCCATATTCCAGCAAGTATGAAGTGAGCTTTGCAGCATGCAGGATGCTAACAAGGATAGCTCTCCCATCTTACTGCGGAGAATCCAGCACTTGTCACCACGATAAATAAGATGAAGAAACATATATATACACAGGCATTTTTGCACTCCTTTAGAATGCCATTCCATCTGGGTTCCTGAGTGATGCTGCCTACATATGCAAACAAACATGAGAAACAAGAGGGATAACAGGTCCTGTGAAAATTTTTTTCCTTGCCATGTATTTTAAAATGATATATGCAGGGTGTCAACTGATTGGCGGATTGAGAGCACTATTGTTGGAGTTTGGGCATGCAGCCAAATAATGAAGGATTGATTTCCAGACCTAGAAAAGACATTTTAATTAACAGAGTACGATTTGCTCCAGTACCCTTCTCTATTGCACCACCAACAGAGCAAAGGCTGCTGTGATAACTTGGTGTGCCACTTTATTTTTTTCTTTGTACCAGCATTTATTTACATTTGCACAGTCCTCAACAATACGTGGAAAACCACCCATTACATGGTATACGTGCAAATCTTGTACATATGTCTGCTACATTACTTGAGACTGTTTTAGTGCATCAGACAGAAGTTCCAAGTGTGCAATGGACAAGGAATAGTTGAATGTCTTGAAATTGAATAGCAGAGGTTACTGTTTTTATTCCTGCCACTGTTCATGATTAGCCATCTTCTGGAACAGGCATGCTTCATTTTCCAAATAAACATTGCACCTATCAAAGGAATCTCCTCCTCCTTTCCTAGATGAACAGATGCTAGAAATTATAAAAAGAAACAG